CCACCTTCAGATCAACTTCTAGTCACCTGAAATCTTCGCGTCGCCATGACCCAATCCCTCGCCCGAACACTCGTCACTGGCCTCACGGCGCTGACGCTGCTGTTCTTCGCTCTCGACAGCTCGAGCGTGTCGTAAGCTTCCCCCTGACTACGTTTTTGCACCTTGAACGATTGTTAACGAGTGTTGCACAGTCTCCCTACATCTACTCTTTCGGCCCCTCACAACTTGACCGACCTTGGCGACATCCTCGCCGAGTCTAACTACTCCCCCTCCCCTACTCATTTCTTCGACCTACCTCTATACCACGAACCCGCGCTGAGTGTGTTGTTCGGGCCCTTGTTCGACCCACCTCAACCTCCGAGTCGTGGAATTGGACTCGACGATATCCATGCAGTTATCCACGGCATTCGCGGATCTATGCAAGTTGTTGCGCAGGTGCTACCCAGTGTCGGACTAAGTAAGCGATAGGATAACACTCGATCGTAAGTGCGCGATGCTGACGAGTACGCGCAGGTGCCACCAAGTGCGGCGACGCTGCGCTTAATCTTCTGTCGATGTTTTACTCGCTTTTGCGCGGAGGTGATTGGTGTGCCGTCGCTATCGCACTCGCTATGCTCGTGGACCTGTCGCTGCTACTGGTTCGCTCCATACGACCCGCGAGGACTCATGTCAACGTCGCCCCACCAGCCCCTATCTCGGCTTTGGGCATTGGACAACGCAAACAAGTGCTCGAGCTGGTTCTGAGAGGCTCGCGGGTATCTAGGACCGAGGTTGATCCAGCAATCGCCGCTCGCCGGCTACACTACCTTTCCCGTCGGTCTCTTTACCTCAGCTCCTATCCGAGTAAGTTCGTTTATAGTAGTATATATGCCCAAGACTCATCGCGCCGCCCCAGCTCTACGGGTGGGAGTTGCTCTAACAGCACTCATGGTCTCGCTTCCGTTCGACTTGCCGACCCTACCCGGTCTCCGTACGACGCTCTCCCAGGCCAATCCGACCGCGTGCCAACCCCACGGAAAGTCAAGCGCACTCGAGAGTGGCCGAATTGCTCTAGTAGCTCGCCGACTATCTCGCTCCTTGGTACTCACAGCTGGGCAACGCAAGGAGGTGATGAGCCTGGTCCTGGCTCGCTCGCTCGCACGCGATGCAAGGCCCGCGCACGCCCTAACCAAGATGGGGCTCGATTATCTCTTTCGTCGCTCGATCTATCCTACCACCTACCCGAGTGAGTCCCTGTTCTGAGCGTCTATGATCTAGGCTCATGCAGTGATGTAGCCATCACGGCACGAGTGCGCGTCTCACTATCTGTCGCAGACTTGCTTGCTTGTTTCGCTATCCGACCTTTGGCTATCCGACCCTCGGGCTATACACATGCGCCTGCCAAGGCGCCTCTCCTGATCGAGTATCGTCAGGAGAACGAAAGCCCGGTCGTCAGCGACGATAAGGTAAGCTCCCTTCCTCGCATGTGGTTTTCCCAGGTTTCTAACATAACTGAAACCTAAGCCCGAGGTCAAGGTTGGAGCCGAGCTGCGCGAACATATTGTGCGAAAGGCCGTGGCTCCTATTTGGACGCTAAGCATCGGACGACGCGAAGAAGTGCTCGAGTTGGTTCTGAGAAGTTCACGGGCACCTAGAGCCGAGGTTGCTCACCTCGCAATCAACGCTCGTTGGCTGCACAACTTTCTATTTCGGTCTCCTTACCCCAGTTCCTATTCTAGTAAGTTCGTCCATAGCAGCGTACATGTCTGAGGCTCATCGCTTCGTCCTAGCTCTACGTGCGGGAGTTGCTCCACCGACTCTCGTGGTCTCGCTTCCGTTTGACTTGCCGACCCTACTTGGCGTTCGCACACCAGCCCCTGTCTCGACGCTAAGCATCGGACAACGCAAGGAGGTGCTCGAGCTGGCTCTCAGCAGTTCACGAGTACCTAGAGCCGAGGTTGTTCGTGCTGCAGTCGACGTGCGACGGTTGCACGCCTTTTTCCGTCAATCTCTTTACCCCAGCCCCTATCCGAGTAAGTTCGTCCATGTGGTGTATATGTCCGAGTCTGATTGCATCGCCCTAGCTCTACTGATAGGAGTTGTTCGACCGACACTCATGTTCTCACTTCCACTCCGCTTGCCAATCCTACTTGGTATTCATACCACACTCCCCCAGGCCAATCCGGCTGCATGCCGACCCCACGGAAAGCCGAGCGTACTCGAGGAGAGCGGCAGAGTCGCTCTTGTAGCTCCCCGACGATCTCTCGCCTTGATGCTCACGGCTGGGCAACGCAAGGAGGCGATGAGCCTTGTCTTGGCTCACTCACAAGTCCGCGACCCGAGGCCCATGCACGCCTTGGTCAACATGGGGCTCGCTTATCTCTTGCGCCGCTCAATGTATCCTATCTTCTCAAGTGAGTGCCTGTTCCCGACGTTTGTGATCTAGGCTCACGAAGTGGTGTAGCCACCACAGCGCGGATGCGTATCTCGTTACTTGTCGCAAATTTGCCCGCTTGCTCGGCTATCCGACTTTTGGTCATCCGACCCTCGGGCTATCCACATGCGCCTGCCAAGGCGCCACTCCTGATCGAGTATCATCAGGAGGAAGAAAGCCCGGTCGTCGCTGACGAAAAAGTAAGCCCTCTTCCTCACATGTGGTGAGCCCAGATTCCTAATTCTCTTAAACCCCAAGCCCGAGGTCGAAGTTGAGGTCGAAGCCGAGCAGCGTGCACCTGCAGTACGAAAGGCGCTGCGTGAACCCAAGTTTGCGCTGTATGTCCCACGTGCACTCCGGGTATGTATTATATCTTTGCACGGCGCATATTCTCTTTCGCCGCTCACTTTGCAACACACAGAACGCCGCTGCAAATTCCCACCCAAGCACACAAGGAGCAGCAAGCAGCTCGTTGCTCGCGAAGGACAGACACACCCAAGAGGAACAAGATGCGCGAAGGGGAAACCCGGAGACTCGACTCGGGTCCTTTGACCCGGATACTGTCGATGCGGCGCTCGAGCGACCAGAGACGACCCTCGACGCGGGTGTGGAAGGTACCCCGAAGCTGAAGCGCACACGCAGAGGGAAGAGGGGCGGACAGGGGAGGGCGAACCGGCTGCCTCCGCCAGGGCTCTAGGTTAGCCCGGCGATACGGAGTGGAGGGAAGGACCAGATGCGGAAGGGGCTGGGAGCAGAGGGGCTGCGGGTGGATGAAGATGGCGGCGGCAATATTCGACCACGATTACCCTCGAATACGACCGACAAATATCAGCGTCGGCCTAGCCCAACCACGAATTGGACAGCTCGTACGACGGCGACGTCTACCGCACTCGGGCCAACCGTGCCGCCTGGCCCCGGCACGGCGGGGGTGTGTAGACTGAGCTGCTCTGCGGTACCTGTCGTTCGGTGACGGGCGAGCTAAGGGTGCGAGGTGCGAGTGCATGGTGCAACATCCTCCGACCTCCTTCAGCATATAACCACGTTTGCGCTGCCCATGCTTTCATTCACTCCAGTACATCCTATGCCGCACTATCATTACTTTTCGTCCCTCGACTACCCTCCCTACTGCCGGTACTACCATGCTCTCTGACTTGCTACCTTTCGTCTGAAACCCCTTATTTCCGGCTCTTTATTTTTAAGTCTTGCTCCACTAAAGTTCTATATAGTATGTGCTCGCAGTTCCAACTTTCCCCTTTTCCAAGTCTCTTCCCTGTTTCTGTCTCGCCCCGCGCCATGTTCTGTCCTCACTGTGTATCATTAGAGCTTTGGCATGCTGCGCATGCCTTGTAATTTTATTCCCGATTATTTGGAGTTGAGTTTCAGCGCCTGCAGCTGGACTGAGTACACCGCTCGAGCCTCCAGCTCGTCCCCAGATGTATCCGAGTATATATCGAGTCGGGTGATGCCTCGAGAGACTAGCTTGGATGTTATCCCACTCCGGCAAACGTTTGTTCTCCTTGGTGATCCTTGAAGGTAGTTGAGCTAGCTCGTGGTCTCGAGGCAGTCAGGTGCCACACGCAGTGATGCATCAACTCACACTTGACCATGACTGCACCATGACAGCACCCATTGTCGTGCGTCGCTTTTCTTCCTGCCCACCATCTCCTTCCAGCACGCCCCATTGGCTTGCCTCAGTTGAAAACCCCCAACCCCCGAGGTGTCCTTGCAGCCGGAGATCCAGCCATGCTTGTGCCGCCTTTGGCAGCGCCGGCGTCCCCCAGTCTTGCTGGCGGCTGAGCCGACCGATGGGTCGTGCATGACCGGCACCAGCACCCGGCCCCGTGCTCAGTGCCTGTTCCCGAGCCCAGTACTCGCTGTGAACTCTCTGCAGGCTGCAATCCATGGCTGCCCAATTAGCATGCTGCAGCCAATGACCAGTACAAAAGTCTGAGTAAGGAGTCTTTTAGTCATCCAAGTGGTGAAAGTATGAAAGTGACAAAACTATGGGCCGTGAAGTGAAACTATGGGCTGTGAAACTATGAGCTCTACATTCTTGTCAAAGTATGATGATTCTTTCAGCAGACTTAAGCTCTCTTTGTGAGATTTAAACTATATGCATATATGCAATGAGCAACAGCGCATTTTGGCATTCAAAAGTTTTCATCTATGAGTCCGGGTTAGTCATAGATTCAATAAAAATACTTCTATGGCCAAACCTTGTGCTTCTGATTCCGCTAACATTCTCTCATCTTGAAGCTTCAGGAGTAGGGAGAATTGACTTTTCGCTCGAAATTTTCTTCATTCATAGTTCATTTTTCTAGTATCAATCTACTATGTCTCTAATAGTATATGAAAGTGTTAATAACTTTACAAAACGAACGCGATAGTAGTGAACCCCGGTCGCCCCCATATATACTTTCGTCCAAGGGTTGTTATCCAATGCCCGACCTGATTCAGTCTCAGATCGTCATACACTCATTTGGCATCTATGCTCTCCCCAAATTCACCCCACTGAAGAACAAAACCACCTCAACCTGGAGCTCTGAACAAACGGCTCGATGGCCGTGCAGGAAAAAGAATGACCGTTAGCCTAACGTGGGGGTCGAACCCACAACCTTGAGATGACCATTTTAAGAGTCTCACGCTCTACCGATTGAGCTAGCCAGGCATTGCAAAATGAGAAGCGGGAGGGGTCATCACCGTTGGCAGCAGCCGAGCGCCGTTTTGGGACTAGAACTGGTGTATATAGCCGCTCACCTTGCAGCCTTCTACCAACTCCCACCTATTCACCCTGCTTTCCCCGTTCGAACATACTTTTGGAATGTCTCAGCCATCGTCCAGAAAGAATGATAGCTTTGATCCAATTTGGATGAATAGTTGCAATATTTACATTCATATTTACTTGAGATTATTTCCAGGACGGGTGGTAACAACGACATATCCACAGACTGAGGGCCCGAGATAGCGAGTGCGAGAGCACCTATCGTAATTATAGTTTCAACCACTCGACATTCATTTACAGTGATACTTTCCATAAAAACAGGTCCCAGACATCCACACGATTCAAGACTTTAAGCGTCCTCGGCAACACGATAGACCTACACGTCCTATCAGCACTCGTCCTGTACTCCGACACCAGAGAGACATACCACAACAGACCCGCTCTTGAGATCCTCCAATCGATAACTAACCGACTCGACCGTCTGTTTGAAGACACGCATTCCAGCTGCTTGTCGGAGACGGATTTGCAACTTCTTACTCACAGGATACGAATTGGG